CCCATAGACGGCCATTCTAAACTGCCAGATTGGGAAACATCCCAACCTTCCAACAATGCGCGTGAGACGGGAAACGTCGGCCGGAGAGTAAGTGTTGGGGCCGGTATGATTTAATGAGGGCCGGCCCTCACATGCTGACAATTAGGACCGGCACACCGGGCAAATGCCCGGTATCCCAGATTGCCAGTCTGAACCTGCTTAGTACAATTATATCATTTAAGTTACTGTAGGTTATATTATATTATTTCATATCTGTGTTTAAATTGAAAATATTCTATTCGCAATATTCTAATCTGCAATGTCGTCTGTGGGACAGAAACAGAGGTACGTACGCAGCGACAATAGGAGCTGTCCAAGTAAACTACAGGCATCTATGTAATAAAATATTGACTTTAGAACTATAGGGCACTAACTTGCTCTAAAATCTGTTTTCATGACTGTTGAATCACATTAACCCCAGGGATTAAGCTCTTTACGAAGGCTGAAAAATTCTGGCACATTTGTTTCAACTTTGAGGTATTGGCATGGAAGCTACTAGAAATCAGAGAATTGCTAAATCAAATGCAAAATGGATGGATGGATGGATGGATGGATGGATGGATGGATGGGTGGACGGACGGACGGATGGACAGACGGACGGATGGATGGATGGATGGATGGATGGATGGATGGATGGATGGATGGATGGATGGATGGCCAGATGGATGGATGGAGGGACAGATGGATGGCCAGATGGATGGATGGATGGATGGATGGATGGATGGATGGAGCTTCCTTGATATTTTATTAATATTGATATTTAATTTATTTAGTTAATAAAAGAGGAAATGTTTACATCAGTTTCTACGATTCTAAGGGAAATCTGCATCTTCTTTTGATTTAATTTCAGTCTCAGCTGTTCTCAGTTTGGCCAGCAGGTGGTGCAACAGAACAGAATGTAAAGTCATTTAGCAGTGAAATCTGAGATCGTCTATTTAAAGCAGTGTCTAACACGCTGCATTTTGTTTGCTTTAAACTGCAGCGTTGGTATCAGACAGTTCTACTGGACCAGACCGAACCAGTTAGACAGAGTGGAATATTTATAACCTCAGAGGATTATAAACAAATCTTGGAAACCAAGTCCAGTGGATATTTTTTGAATTTTTTACGGAATGTCTATGACCTGGATGACTGGGAATCTTCATCAGCATATTATAAACAAGGAAGTTTTTTGTTGTTTTTTATGTTCTGAAAACTTTATCAATACAAAGCACTTGTCAATGTAAACAATCTTTTGTATTTTACAAGTTACTAGTTACTAAAGTTACTAGTTACAAGTTACTAAACATACATATAAAAATACAAAAATTAAAGTAAAAACAATAAGAATCCAGGAGGAGAATAACATAAATACATAATAATAATAATAATAATAATATCGGCGTACACTTCCTGTTTCGGCAGGGATGTGACGTAAGCAGTGTGCGACGGCCCCTGGAGCTGCGTGTCGGAGCAGCAGCAGCAGCAGCAGCGGGCAGGAATGGATGTGTTCAGGGAGCGGAGCCGCGGCGGCGGCGGCTGGAGCTGCCTCTGGCGGCTCGCGGTGCTCCTGCTGTCCGCGTCCTCGCTGCCCGCCGCCACGGCGCTGCTGGAGGGGCTTTACTGCGGGACGGAGGTCTGCTACGATGTGCTGGGAGTCAGCAGGGAGGCCTCTAAGGCGGAGATCGCCCGGGCTTACAGACAGCTGGCCCGCCGGTACCACCCGGACCGATACCGACCCGAAGGTCCCGGAGATGAGGAGAGCGCTCACACGAAGTTCCTGCTGATCGCAACGGCTTATGAGACGTTAAAGGTCCGGAACCGAACCCTGCCTGGTCCAGAACCAGCAGTGGTGTTCTGTCTGTCTGTCTGTCTGTCTGTCTGTCTGTAGGATGAATGTTGCTTCAGGTTATTGAAGCAACATTCAATAACCTCAATGTTGCTTCGATAAAAATCATAAACAGAACTTTATTGATCTCACAATAGATGCTCAGTGGGCAGTGGACAGCTCTGCTGTGTTGTAGCAAGAAGGTCTTTCTGCATGGAGTTTGCATGTTCTCCCTGTGCATGCGTGGGTTCTCTCCGGGTACTCCAGCTTCCTCCCACAGTCCAAAACACTGATCATTTATTGAACAGGATGGAATCATTTCACATTTAAAGAACTTTCAGAAGTTTGGATTCTGAATATGAGCGACTTTTCCTTTAAAATTAAACACAATGTTTTCCTCTTCATCGCCTCCTTGTTTACATCATCTCTGTTTGGCGTCTCCACAGGATGAGGAAACGCGGCGTGACTACGACTACATGCTGGACCATCCTGAGGAGTACTACCAGCACTACTACGCCTACTACCGCAGACGGCTCGCCCCCAAAGTGGACGTCAGGATCGTCATCCTCGTCACCATCTGCGCCATCTCTGCCATCCAGGTTAGGATCTCAGT